ATGCAAAGTTACTCAGTACAGTTGCATTTCTCTCTAACAAATACAGTGAGACAGTCATGTTCATCAGGTATGGCATGTAACAAGTCTTTTTTTTCCCGTTCTGTGCAGCTTGATAGAAGTAACATTATAATCGACTACATAAACATATAATTATGTTCTATTATCTGCAATTCTGTTGTAGGGACCTTCTTACATCTCTTTGTTAACATGAATAAATATTCATGTTAAACTACAGTTAACAAAGAAAAAAATACTGCTTTAAGCATAACCTGCGTTCTGCTTCAAACGTAATCTTTATTTTTTAACAGAAAAGAAAATCAGATGTTTTTAAAACTGCTTTTATTTTAGCTTTTAACTTAATTAAAGACTTGTGTTTACATAAAGTAATTAAGCATATCCAGATATATTCTGACTTTTTCAATGGATGCTGAGAAACTGTAAGGGCCTTTCACTGGCTAGAAGTCAAAGATAGTGATGGTATCCCTGAGATATAAAAAAAGCCAACAAGACACAAGAAAATGTAGGGGAAAAAATTCAATGTTTTCATAAATCCTATATCCTAAAAATCCCCAAGCTCAATTAACTTTTAACACCCCTTAAATATTTTCCTCTGGAAGGAAAATAAAGTTCGAGGATTAAAAATGAAGTGTACTGGCAAAAATATGTGTGGTATATGAAAGGCAATCAACCTGGAAAATAAAGTTACAGATTGAAGATTTAACAATCAGATTCTAAACCAGTTCTAGACCATAAATATCTGTGAGATTTATACTTTTCAAATTATTAACTATTTAAATAAAAACACTGACATTTCATTCTTTCATATAATCTCTAAGAATAATGACTGATATTTAAATTTGTTGTACAAAAATGTCACGTCACTTCCTTAAAAAAAGGAAGACATTAAAACTAATGTCTTTCTAAACAAACAAGAACCCCAAACATATTTGAAAGATATACTGTGAAGCTAATTTTGTTAATAATACTTTGGTAAGGCTAAACTATTTATTTATCTAAACTGTGGAAGAAAAATCTCAGATATACCATTACAGAAAAAAAAGACTAGTTACCAAGGGTCCAAGAAAAGACCAACTTTTCCAGCCATATTCAACTTTCATGTATGAAAAACATTTAAGAGCACTTTTTTTAATTATACATTCCTCCCTACTGACACGTAGCTCTGCCAAAGGTGCAACCAGTGAAGCAGGCACAACAAAAGATTCACATAAATCTCACAGAAAGAATGGTAAGTAAAAAAAGTGCTTTAAGACATATGTATTTTAACCATAGCCAGACCCTAAGGAAATCTTTCAGATCATAAACATTCATATCTTCATATTTCTTTGTACTTTTTTTCTGCAACAAAAGAAATAGTACATTTTTTCCAAAGAGGCAGCTGGATGAAATATAAGCAATTCTCAAGTGAGAGTCATATTCTGTTCCCTGGACATGTGAACTGTGCTTTTATTTATCTATCTTCAAACAAAAATTTGAACTATCCCACATGGTTTCTAACACATATCTACATAAACAACGGTTAGAGCTGTGAAAATAGCAAAGCTCAAAATAGATTTTACCTGTTCCAATTATCTGAAGTTTAGGAATCCATTTGAAACTAACTATGTAAAAAGCCCTTTTACAGCCAAGAAAACTATTTCGCAGAGACATTTGATGTTCAGGATAAGCAGAAAAATTCTCTGTCTGAAGTTGCCATTTATTCTCACCTAAAGGAAGATTTAGGCATTTCAATAACTCGTTATTAAATTTTAGAATAGTTGTCAAAATTTTAGGTGAGATGAATAGTAGGCTTTGAATGTGGTGTTAAAAGGTTGATGTCTTTTTTAAAAAGACAAAGAAAAAAAAACAATCCTGAATTCATCTTCTCTCTGCTTCACAACAGAGTCTATCTGTGGAATGCTCATCCTTCACACAGATTTTTATTTTTTGAATATATTGCAGTATACCTAAAGTATATTGCATGTGACTCCAAAACTAGCAAAAGAAACTCATCTGCCACACCTTTGCATTGCAAAATGGTGTCTGTTAAGGTATTAACTCACCTGAAGAGATTGATCCTGGTAAACTTTCCTGGACCTAAAATTAGGAAATTACATTCTAGCATAGCATATTCCTATAAAAATCAAATATTAAATATCTTCAGTTGTTTGGGGCCCACAAAATTAAGTTCATATTGAAGTACAAAAAAGATACCATCACACATGACAACTGCTGGCAATGGTACAGTGATACATTGCTTTACAGACTTTTTTAGTCTGACAATTTATTTCTGGATGAACACAAGGCATTGACCAGCCAGGTTCAACTCACTAATTTCATATTCTTACAGGTCCATAACAAACTTCAACTTGTGTAATATCTCATAATATCAAATGTCAACAACATAGCAGTACACTTTCTGAACAGAAAGTTTATGTTTTTGTTGCTTTTCTGTTTCATGAACTGGATAACCTTTTAGGTATTGTAACACACACTGTACTGTAATATTACGTATTGTAACACATAACTGTGTTATGTTTTGTTTAAGATTTTAACTTAAATACAAGTGACACAAAAAGGCCATGGTATAGTTATTTATGCCTTCATTAGTAATGACATATGTTTCAACATTTTTCTCATGAAACATGTTCTTCATTAACTATATTTTTTGCATAAGAGGATGAACATCTGTTCTCTTCTCCTGCAATGTCCATAGTTGCATGGCAACTGAGACATTACTGTCCCTCAGTAACTATGCTTGGTAATCTATTTAAAAATGATCTCATGCCAAAAATTGACTGAAACATTAGCCTCCTGTCACAAACATTAGCTACTGTTGAGAAAGACTGTTATCTTCTTCCTGTTCTATTTTCCTGTTAACTTTACTGCTACACAACTACACACACAGTCTAGAAAATTCTTCATTTTAATACACCCTTCCTTCTAGAAACAGCCAGATTAACAGTTTAAATCTTAGAATAAAGAAAAAAAATGTTAATTCTTTCTGTTTTTTCAGAAACAATGGATTAACAGATCTTACTTATAGTGCTACAGAAAATATTTTCCTACACTTCTGAAAACATGGGGCACTTCAACTAGTTAATAGACCACAGTCAGTGCATCAGCTGAATAGCATGACGTCAAAACAGATTTCTGTTCTTTAAAACAGAAACTCTGTTAGGTTTTGGAGAGCACAACTTCTTAGCCCAGAGTTAGACAAGAGTTGTAACACGACTTACTCCATTCTGCAGACTGTGAAAATTTACTTGCTCACAGTACTTTTATGCCATAAAGACCTATGTAGGCAGTGTCATGGTGCAGAATGGATGAATAATTAATCAAAACATCGAAAAAATGGGACATGACGTTTTTCCAGTGGAGGGAGATAACAGTAGCATCTCATCAGAAGGATCTCTGAGGAAACCCATACAATGTAATATAATGCCAAAAGGGGTGAATAATAAAGTGACAAGTTTTGTTATTGATGCTAAGCTACTAAATCAAGATCAAGAGAAGAATTTCAAAAGTTCTAATACTTACAGATTAAATTAATTGTAAACAAATGTAAAATGCTGTACATTGGAAAATGTTATATATGACTGACAGCTCAGATGAAAACCTGGAACTATAATAGATAGATATAAAATGTTTACTCACTACTCAAAAGCTATCAAATATAAGCAATTTAAAGCTAGAAACTTGAGAAATAAAAAGGAAAAAAAGGGGATTTGTGGCACACTATGAATCCATGGTTCAGTAGCATCCTGATTACAGTGTGCAGTTATGGGTACTGATCCCTTCCATCTGAAAAAGGATTCAAAGGAATTTCTGAAGATGTACAGAGAAAGGATTACAAGAGGGACTTGAAATGGTTTCTGTGCACTGAACAGTGGAAATGGAGGAACAGATGACTAAAGGAGATATGAAAGAGGTCTTCATGGTCATGAGGGACAGTGAAAAAAAGTAGAAATCCATTTGTCACTGTCTCTTACAGAAAAAAAGAATTAGGTGATATCAGATGAAACTAATGGATGGCAGTTACAAACTAAAGTCTTCAGAAGATGGATAAGTAATCTGGAAAACAGCCAAAGGGGACTGAAGACAACAAACGCTTGTAAGGATTGAAAAAGTAATTTGATTTTTCCTCCAAGGATTTGTTCATTGAGGGCTACTAAACACAAGGATGCATACTCTGGTATGTATCACACATGCTTACCCTGTTCTTATATTCTTGCTTTGATACGTGTGTTTGACACTCTTACTGTCATGCGCAAAACAGACTCAACTTGGGAAAATTACTTTAATTTATTGCAAATTAAAAATAGAGCAAGACAGTGAGAAGCAAAGACAAAGTTAAAACTCCTATCTGTACATTTCTTCCCAGACTGAAAATTATATAAGACTCACTGATAACATTGAAATAGCATTACTGTATATTTGTCAATTAAATCTCTGCTTTTGGACTGTGACTTTTCCAGAATAGCAGGGATAAAAGCAGAAACACTTTCTAATCTTTAGGTAGGAGAAGTAAAGAAATGCCAGTATGAAAAGACAACCCATTGATATTAATTATGTGGCATCTAAAGAAAGCTTGACTTATTTCACAGTACAAATACAAAGCTGAAAGGCCGATAGCAATTTTCAGTTGCTTGCAGTAGTATTCTCCAGTTACGTTCTCACTAATACTACAGGAACAGAATGAAGGGGGGCAGGAAACAAAAATATGCTTATTGAAAAGTGTATCTTGGAATAGTTGTGGTGGTTTCAACAGGCTGTCAGGGCAACTATAGTTTCAAGTACTACAGAATACCATTTCAAAGTTATTAAGTGAGAGTTACTTTATCTTCCCCATTGATCTTTACATATGCACAGTCACATTCACAACCAATGTCCGGGGCTTTCTCTTCACTCTTTCTGTTCCTATGCACCATGAAATGAATGGAGAAGAGGGAAGGGAGAAACATGGCTGACACACTATACTTTTTTCTCTTTTGAAACCACAGAGGCTTCCATAGCCATGGACCTTACCAGTGCAGAGCACAACATCCATACTTAGTCCTGTACTTCCAGTAAAGTCAACTTAGATATGAGGTGCATGTTTCCATGCTGAAGAACTCTCTACCCATCTTTTAAGTGCACATGGATTAATCTCATCAGTTGCTCAGTCTGGATTTGATTGAACACCAACACATTTGTTCATCTGCTGGAAGAGGAATCCTTTGACCGGGTTTTGACCTGAAATCTGACACAAATCTGTTTGTTTACTTATCTGAAGCTGATTAATGTCATTATTGATTGCTGCAGTTTGTTTACTGCAGCTACAATGTCACAGGTTAATTCTACTTGCTGTGGTCTTAACACCATATCTCCTAAATTATTGACTTTTGTGCATGCTACTCCTTCATTTGTTTACTCACAGTAATAAATCTTCAACTTTGTCTAAAACTAAACAACACAGCACTGCTTAAGTGACTTAAATGTCAATCCAAGGGAAAAAGTTTGCATCAAATCTTTACACCAAATAATGTTACTATCTAGTATCCTTAGTACCGTTTGCTTCAAAAGTTATAGTTTACTTTATGACAAACAGTTACCTTTCATGATACTTACATGACTCTTGTAATAGAAAAGCCTAGTCAAGTTCTCCAAAGTTCTCAAAAAAACCCCTCCAACCTGATCAACAACTTCTGTTTTATTTGAGTATTTCTTGATATTCATGATGACCCCATGATAGGAAACTTTCTGCTCTATAAGTGTCCTGTCATAAAGCTTGTTACATTCAAGACCATATTATGGGGGCAGGCAAACATACCTCTTGGAGCTCATATCACTAAGCTAAGACAATCCTGCCCTAAACAAAGCTGGATTCTGCACTTTTGTAAAATCCTATTTTTATTTCAATTAAAGTTGTAAGGGGTGAGGAAAAAGAAATATCAAAATTTGCAATTAAATCCAGAGAACTGTGGGAACCTCCATCCCCACAATTAAATATCATCATTCAATAGTAGAACAACACTGTTTGATATTTGATCACCCACTGCTTAATGTAAAAACAATAGAACTTTTTTAGCCACAAAACTAAATAGTCCTTATTTTTAAATCAAAGAAATTTTAAATTGAAGAAATAAATGTTGGCAGCCAATTAGGTACTTAAAACATTCAACAGTTCTAGTGTGAATATGACAAAGTATTATAACCTTTTTTTCAATACAACTGTGTTATTTTGAGATTTTTCAGACATTTTGTTTCTGTCCTTAAGGGAAAATAAGCATCTTACTGTACTTGTACAAAATACATGAAGACTGATGCATATACGTCATGAACATCACTGCTTTTAAATGCCATTCTGATTTCTTTTCTGAATCTTTTCTGATTCAGAAAAGGTGTCTCTACACATAACTTAATAAAATTATGTAAAGACTTCTCATGGTTTACATTGTCATATCAGTTCAAGAGTCACCACAATGAGTAGTTAATATAATGTATATGTACAAATGCCTGCACTCAGAAAGAATCATATTAATGCAGAATTTCACTGGACACAGTAAAAAGCTGCAAAATTGCAAAAAAATTATATGTAAATATTTTGCCTAACACATTGATTTGATAAACTGTCAGAAAAAGTCTCTGATGGAGACATATTTAAAGTTACATTGAAAAGCAATTTAACACAGACTATGACTTTTAAAAGTTTAAAAAATTAAGTAGGATTTTTTTTTTCATGAAACATGTACATTCTAGTAAAAGATTTCACATTGAAACAAAACCATAGAGTTCATTTTATGATTTGTCTTCTTGGTCTAAAAAAGTCAAAGGTCAGAAAAATTAGAACATCCAGAGAAGGTATACAGTATGATCATCTGAGAATAGAGTAAGATTTATTTGAGCCAGGCACCTGTTTCTCATGGCAGCAGGCCTCTCCAGCAGCAGGCCCAAAGTCCCAGAGCTGGGCTGGATCACAGATGGTCTGGAGCACAGGCAGTCAAACCGAGGGCCCTCAACAATTCCTTATGGGTCCTGACCACAAAGGAGCAAATATGGGTTGAATAAAGAGTTTCTATTCGCAGACTCTTTATGCTGAGAAAGACAGTTTTCTGGTTCGCAGCAGCTTTCCCCTCAGTTTTCCTATTCACAAAGCTGAATGTGAAAGCAATCACTTTCAAAAAGCACAGAAGTTTTGAAGATGTACTGGAAAAATTTAAGGACAATGATTCAGCATATGGAGTTGTAGAACCAGTTTTTTAAGGATTCAAATGATTGTTTAAAAATCTGATTATATTTGACAGAGGCACTGAGAAGAAATGAGTTGATGCTGGCTATAAGGAGAATGCCCAGTGTGGGAGGAAAAAAAAAAGTATGCCACTGTGCAAATGATATGAAGTAAATAATTAAATACACTGATTTTCTTTCAGAAGTATTGTTAAAGAAATGAAGTCATATCTACCACGTCTTCTGATTTAGAGGCAAAAGAGAAAGTTGTTGAATTCATACGGCAATTGAACAAGTAATATTCAGGGTAATATGGCAGGTCTCCTTCAGGCCGCTATTTTACCTGCCTCATTAGAAATCAGTGCTAATTGTCTCAGATAAATAATGTCCATAAATGTGTACTCAAATGGGAGAGTACCTTCACTCATTTTCCACATATGTATATTTCATATCAGTTATTTTCCAAAAGCATATTTTCTTTCTAGAAAAGTCATCCACTTGGCTACACAAAAGTTAGAAACTTCAATTCTACCATATTAATCCAGCACTAGGGTGATTTCATTAGGTATTCTATTGTATTAGTATAAAGAATTCTAAAAAAAAAAAATGCTTTTCTAATATTTTGCATCCTTTCATGATCCCATTTGTCCAAAAATTTATTTAAGAAAAGGTCATGTCACCTGCCTGTCAAAGCTCTCATTTCTTCCAGTTTAAGTAGAGGTTTCAAATTTTGTTTTACCTTTTTTAGAGTTCAAAACTTGTCATGAATTCTTATCTTCTCAAATGCTTTGAAATCCATTTAACTGCACCTGAAGCTCTTGGCAGATTTCAGAAAGCAATTTTAGGTATGGGAATGAGAAAGTGAATAGTGTAGAGTGGGGAACATTGTACCCATAAAACCACAGATCTTCTGCAGGGATTTATACTGCTGAACATTACTCACTCCTAGACAAAATTTTAGAGGAATAAAATAAAAGCAAACGCATCCTAAAATTCATCGATGGCAATTTTAATAATTAAAGACACAGTGTAGTCACACCTGAAAGAAACAGCATTAGTATCCTCAACACCCAAGTTTTAACATCGTATTTAAATAGCTGGTGTTTCCAGAGTAGTTTAGTCAGGCTCTTGAGGGCACTACCAAGACCTTCTATTCTTGTTTGGCCTGTCTCAGGGTACCATTCCACCACTGTCCATGACTGAGGCCCCATCTAATCTTGGACCTTAGAATATACGCCCTTTTTTGATCCCTCTTGGGTCCAGCAGCTCTCTGGGACCTCTCCTAGGTGGGTGATGGCATGGCCCGGCAGCCAGGGCCTGTCCCATCCCCAAGCAGGAGCAGGGCAGCCAGGGGCACCAGGTCCCAGCCCTTGCATCGGGCACCTCCCTGGGGACAGGGACAGGCTGCGGCTGGGCCAAGACTTAAGCCAGCAGGTGGTCTTGCCTCAGCAGAGCCCATGGTTGGTCAGGGCAGGGCTGTGGGGAGCTGTTGTCTGGCAATGCTGCTTCAGGGTCACCTGGGAGGGGACTCACAGCCCCAGGGAGCTGTGGTGGGGCCCTGAGCTGCGGGCAGGGTGAGGGGAGCCCGGGGGGCTGGGCAGGCACAGGGAAGGCTGGCAGTGCCCTCGGGACCGTGACCTGTTGTGCAGTGAGCTGAGAAAGGTGCTTCTCCAGGAGCGGCTCGGAGAAGCAGTCCTTTAAGACTTTGAAATCCCCTCTGGAGTCAGTTCCTCCTTCAAGCAGTGAAGCAGATTGCTACAGAAGTTACTGTCTAAATTACGATGCAGCCAGGTGCTGAGCACAACGCCTGCTATTGCCCTCATGATGACTTCTTTTTACACATTTCGTATGTAGTTCCGTAAATTAAAATCTGCTGCCACTAGAGGGAAGCACAAGGTTCTCTACCGCCCTAACAACTCGGGTGTCAGGACCTGCCTGTCTGTAATACTTTTGTCATGTGTTAGCATTATTTTAACTGGACTAATAAAAATTCTGTCTGTATTTTCATTAGACTGTTACCATGTTAATTTACTAACAGTACATTGCTGGCTCCCCACGTCGGTTGGATCCCAGTTTTGTCCACAACAAGATTCTGAATTTATCAAATGCAATTGACTTTCTTGGGACCTCTAATTTTTAAATTTAATGTAAACACACTACTGAATCTGGGCATAAGTGAATGCAAAGGCTGACATCCAGCCAGCCTAACAGATTACCAGATGGCTTTCAACTTTAGACACCTCACATGATAGTTGTCTTAAAGTACCTGTCTAAATGCACATAGAGTCAATATTATTGTTTTTGTTAGGGATTAAAACAAAATAAAATTTTTAAACCATCTATCTGGCTTTTAGAAGTCTCCTGAATGCAATAAAATTAGCATTCATCAGAACTATATTTCCTGAAAAATACTTAAGATTTTCAGTCAGATAATATACTGAAAAAATGATGTTTTTTCTGGGTTCCATAACTCATAATTCAGTGCAAGAGTTTTACTGCATCTCCTGTATGTTCACATTAACATACAAATATATAAATATTTCAGGCGTAAACAAGTAAAATCTTCAGCACTTTCCTCCTCCACTTGATAATCTACTTTGATAAGAAAGAAGCATACAACAATTGGTCAGCCCTAGAGTGACATCTACTGTTCAGAAAGATACACAAGAGAAGCAAAATTTACATCCACTCATCCAACTTTAACTAGGAAACAGGGACGTATTAATGATGAACTGATGTATGAATTTGAGATATGAAAAAGGAATGCATGTTACCACAAAGCATCCTGATCGCCAGGCAGCAACAGATATATTTTAGCCCGCCTGTCAATTCAACCCTTCTACCACTAGTTTCCCATCTCTACTATTTGCAAACAGTTCTAGAAAGTTTTAATCCTGGAATAGGAAAGGAACATCAATCAAGTGCAGCTGTGAAATGATCAGGTCTGGAGAAAGAAGTCATCTGATGAAGCAACCTTTTTGGATACAAATTAATAGGAAGGACAGCTTGAGCAGGGATGCAAAAGACTAGTACAATTATTGTGAGATAACAAAACTTTACATCATCCCTATAGATAAAATTCCATCATATGGTGATTGTACAGTCTACAATACTTGCTTCAATGATAATAAACAGAACAAAGAATTTTAACCCCAAAAACAAAGTTCTATTTTTTCCTTCTAAATGCATGGTACTACTTAAATGCTATTTTATGGGATAGATGTGTTTTCA